CTGGCCTGGCAGAGGCAGATGGCACACTGCCTATCATACAGCCTTGTAGCTGGAAGTTTTCCTGTGTCCCACCTGACCCACCATGGTTGGGACAAATCTTTCCCACTCATGTCCACCAGGTAAACACACAGAGGCTTATAGCAATTAAAACTGCTTGGCCATTAGCTCAGGCCTACCACTGACGAGCTCTTACATTTAAACTCAGCCCATTTCTGTTAATCTATATGACCATGTGTTCCGTGGCTTTACCTGTGTGCCATTACATGCTGCTCCCTGGACAACGGGCTGGCATCTCTTGACTCAGCCTTTCTCTTCCAAGAATTCTTCTTGTCTGCTTATCCTGCCTATACTTCCTGCCTGGCTTCTGGCCAATCAACATTTTGTTTATCAACCAATCAGAGCAACACATATTCACAGCATACAGAGCATCCCACAGCACAGCCCAGGACTATTCACAAAGGTGGGACAGGGCTGAAGAAAACTGGTCAAACCTTGGGGCTGCAGGGATGGGGCATTGTGACTGGCACAGGTGGGTTGCATCTGTCCTGCCCTTTGGCTTCTGACTGAACCTCCTTAGTGTCAGGCTCTGGTGGAAGCTCTGAGGACCTGGAGGCTGAGGTAGGTGCTGCTCCCCAGGCTTCCGGAACCCAGCTGAATGTGGGGGTCAGCTTTAGTCCCCTGCTAGTCCAGCTGCTATTCTGATACACTTCTCCACTCAGCTCTTTGGACATGAGATAAACCTCTTTATCTCATGCCTTTGTGATTCCTTGGTCTTACCAGTTCCTCTACTTCCTGACTTTCTGTACTCCCTACTTTTACCTTTTACAATAGTTGTAACTTATAGCTATACCCATAGATTAGTATTGTCCAACCTTCATCAGAAAAGCTTCTTTTTCCAGTAGATTGAGATTAGCAGAGATTTAAGACTCATCAAGGAACAGAGAACAGGAACCTGAGGAATCTTACCCCTAAATGAGACATCTATGTTACACCGCCTCTTCAAAGGCTGAGGAATTGCTGTGGAAGAGAAACTCAGAATACTGTAAGCTGGAGGAGGTGGATGACTACAAGGAAATGGTATATTCTAGACACAGCAGGACAGTGGCACACATAAATTCACAGAACCTGTGACATCATGCTTAAGACCTGTGCAAACTCAAGCCAGATAAAATCCCACCATGGAGAGGGGAGGCAGGCAAAGTCTCACCCCAGTTGAGGAGTTAATGGCGACTGATAGCTGCTTGGAGAAGAATCAGTTTTCTTTTGTGGTGTGATCCCTGGTAGGTCAGCTACACTCCAGTGGAAGGGCACACATCCACAAGTATATGGGCACAATGTAGCTTGATGGATTAAAAATGGGGGGATATAAACTTGGGTGGATAAGGGTGGGGTGGATTTGGGAAGAGTGGGGAGAGGGGGTAGGTATGATCAAAATACCTTGTATGCAATTCTCAAAGAACTAATAAAAATGAAATAAAACAGCCACTTTACTGAACAGGGTTGCATATGCTGTCTGGTTTTATTTTGGCCTTGAACTCTAACAAATGTTCTCACGATTTTTTAATCAGTCCTCACAAATTCTCAGCCGTTATACGTTGACTATTGTTATTTCCTCACTGTCTTACTTCTCTGCTCTTAGAATTCCAGTGAGATGGATTTTTAAGTTTCTCTTATTTTCTCTTTGTGTCTCATTG